TCTTTCTAATGTGACAACTATTCTTGGAAGTATCACTTTATAAAATTAAAGTGGTGCCAGGTAGGACCAAAATAGCCGTCTTTCTATCCTTCCTATGAGTGATAAGATCTAAACATAACACACATAATTTAAAGCATTGTTCATGAATGCAGAAATTCCCTCATGATGTCTAACAATATTTTTCAAGGCTCACAATGTAGAAAGTATGGTTTCTTCTCTCCTGAGCCCAAGGATGTGAGAAAGGCCACTCCATCTCCAGCCCACTGAAGACAGGTTTCAGAGTTTTGGGGAATGTACGGATGTAAGGATGGACGGGGTGAGAAATAAGACAAACTTTTCCGCCTTTTTTTAGATTACATTATCTCTCAAACTACTGGCTAAGCTGCAGCTATGAAATGAAACCACCCGATGGCTTTAATGGACTGCCTCCTTCTTATAAAACCCGTTCTACCGTTCTACTTTCATTTTGGTTCATTTGCATTCTTGTGGCAGTGTGTTTTAGATTGATACGACCTCTGTGGAGCGTGTATGTTGTGGTTCTAAACACATATAGCCACACTTTACTTTCCTTTTGTCTGGCAGGCAAACTGAGACTTAGAATTCCGCTACATGGCAAATTATCCATGAGCCGATCCTCATAATATAAGAAAGAGGGAGATGCATTCAACATGTTTCTCTCCCCACAGGCTGCTTCTAAAGTTACTTTAAAAATAACACTGAACTCAGGAGGCAAAGGATTAGATGTATTATTATTTTATTATTGTTATTATTATATTTATTATTATTATTATTATTATTGCACTAGGCATGGATTTTAAAAAAATAAATATTGTATAACTAAAATTCACACATTTATTTATGTAAGACCATTTTCTCATCATCAGATATATTCCAAAAAAATCTTCTTAAAGTTTCTTTGTAATATCCCAGGTATACAAATATTGCAGATCCTGCGAAAGATTTTCTTTAAATTTGATTTCTACTAGGGAAAAATAAAATCCCTGTTATCATCATTCTTTTCTTTTTAGACACTCTTGACTACTTAAATCTCAACTCTCCTGTTGTAGTTTCAGCTTACAAAAGCACAAGGACAAATATTAATAATTGTATAAAATAATACTAATAATAGATAATGTTTGTGTAGCTTATAAGCCTCTTCACCAGTACGGCAATCTTACAGGACACAATTAATTATTGGCATCTCGTTGTTCACGGGAAGTTTGACATCTCCTATAGTTTTGGTCCTGGTATCTTTCTTCCTGCCATGGGCAATTTCTTGTTCCTGGCTTTTATATCTTTAAAACAATAATAAGAAACCAAACTCATGAATCTGAATTATATTAAGTTGTAAGAACTGTGTCTTAAGTACAGCCACAGAAGTAAATATCAAGTATAATCAAGGACCAAAATGAACGAAGTGCGAAAAAAGATTAGACTAAGCAACAATTCTCTTTCAGAGTCTTTCCAGAACTGAGGCACAACATTGGTGAGTAGGTGAAAATGGAATGAGGCCTAGAGATTTCTGTCTCTTTTTATCCTACCTCCAACCCATTCTCCAGGCCCCTTCTCAGGCCCTCCTCAAACCCTCACAAAGTGCCAGTTATCATTTACATGAATTAAAGAAGAAGGAAGAAAAAGAAAAGGTGCTAAAAGATCACCTAACTGCAAAGAAAGAATGACTGGAAACTCGAAAATTAGTTATTGAAATCTCCCCTGGTTATCAGCTTCTGCCCAATGTTGAGGAAAAGTTTGAAAAAGGTAAGAAACAGACAAAGCAGCCATCCTAAATATGCAGAAGATGGGTAAGCTTGTTCTCAGAGCATTACATCGTATGAAAAGACTTGTATGTCAAGTTTTTGGGAAATGGGTTGTGTTTGCTATGTAAGAATATTAACAAAACCAAAATAATCATGCAGCATTAAAAACCTAGTTTGAGTTTTATGTTCAAATTCCTAAATTTTATTCTAAGTTCTCTGAATTGCAAAAAGGAACCTGACATAGATGGTTTTCCGCCACTTTCATAACTAAAAGCTGATGCAAGAAAGGCCCGATTTGCAGTCCCTTGAACAAATGTTATGCCTTAGCAACAACTTGATGGGACAGGTGACAATCTTTTACGCTTTAATATATGCCCAGAGCAGTTTTATCTTTTTTTTTCTTTCTTTCTTTCACTGATGTGATTGCAAAAGCCAACAGAAGAACGAGAGCATCCTAATTCCAAATGATGTAGGCGCTACAGAAATCTCAGAACATTCTGGCGGGACATTTCAGCTTCAGGCGCTATACCGCAAACCGTTACACACAGAGAAGCTCCGCAAACAGAGCAAGGGTCAGTCCAAGTGAACTAAGAACACTGGCTAGGTTGAGTGTGGGAGGTATATATAATAAAGGCAATTATCGCTGTAGATTGAGATCTACCGGATACAGCTTAGGCCAATAGATCCCAAACTTAAAATCCATAACCCTTACATACATGGAGAAGTTCTGTAACAGAACTAGTAAAGTTTAGTCTGACTAAACTAAAAATAGCAGGCGAATCGATCGTGGGTCAAAATAATAAAGGCAATCATTGCAGCAACTTGAGATCTACTGGGTACATTTTAGGTCATTGGATTTCAGACTTCTCTGACCGCAACCCTCAGAAAGAATAATATTTTGCATTGCAATTAACACACGGGAACATGTATAATTGAAACACTTTTTCACAAAATAAAACTTACCCTGACTAAATGGGACCTGTTATTTCCTATTAAATCCCTTTATACTTTATTTCTTCTTTTAAAAAAAAATAACCCAACAACCCTTTTTTTGACTTAATAAACTGAATTCAGGGCCCACTGGGTTATTACAATTATATTCAGAATTACTGTTCTTCAGGCCCCAAACCTTTGGAAAACTACTTAAGAAAAGTCCTAAGAATTTAGTTAATTCTTTTATTTGAACAGGAGAATTGGAAGAAAAAATACTATTTTAAAACATTTCAAACAACAGTGAGCTAGACCCTTCTCTAGGTAACAGGAGGCAGCAACCAAACAAAAGGAGAAATGTAACAAAAATGAACCGCCAAGGAAAAATCTAAGTCTGAATTTCTATACCAACTCCAATCTGGAGTGTTTTTTTTCTAATTTACTTAATTCCTTGTGTTTTTTTAAAAGTAAGTTTTCTTCTAAAAGTATTAGACTATGATTTAATGCACAAAGTTTAAGATGGGGCATATTAGAGTGGTATTATTTGCCACCAGGATGATGAGCAAGTAGGAATAAAATGTGATCTCCTTTTTATCTGCACAGATTCACTTTGCAATTATTAGCAAGGCCGTAAATAATCCACTAAGGAGCAGTCTCATTAGTGCCCATTGAAATTCAGTGTCATTAATTTGCAATAAAAGAACTGAAAATTAAATAGGAAAGGAAATAGTTTCGGGAGTCCACCATAAGGTTATGAAATTCATATCATCCCAGTGTCTTATCTCATAGCAAGGGGTTGAAAATGCTCTGTGAATTAGATTTAATCGCTGTATTTTGTTCTTCAATATGGGGAGTGGGAGCAGGCAGAGAATTTTTTTTTATTACTCCTAAATTAATACAAGTGAAATTAATTTGAAAATGTCCAACTTTTTAAGTTGGATTCATTATCTTTAAAGTAAACTAGGGCATAGGACCTTCTGAATCCCTCTGAGGGGGCTGGGAATGGACACAGGTCAGAGTTCCCAAAAGGGTGTCCTCCAGGGCAATCTGGGGCCACACTGCACCTTCGACCTGTCTTCTCTGCTATAAATATCTCTGGAAATAAAACCCTAGACAGCAAACAGCCCGTGGCTTGCAGTGTAGAGAGGCTGAGAGAGGAGAGGAGGTGAAGTCAGGCACCACAGCAGAGGGTGAAGTGGGTACACCATTTCTGCACCTGCCACGTGGGTGCCCGGGCCTCCCAGACTCACTCCAGAGTCCTGATGACCCCGAGCTGAGGGCATTCAAGGCCTCTAGGTTCAAGTCCCAGAAAGAGACAGGGAGAAGCTACCTAAGGGCAACGGGATAAAAGAGAGGGCAAAGAGGAACAGTCCATGTCCTTTTAAAGTGTGAGCACAAAGCATTCGCCACAGCCACCGAAAGTCACCAAAGTGTCACTGTGTGTCCCAGCTCTCCAGGGGACCGCAAGGCGCAGTCCAGGGCTGACCACTCCGCATTTGCTGTCTGATAGTCAATCCCGGCGCCAGACTAGCAGGGACGATTTCAAAGCCTCCGTGCTTCGATGTGGCAGGGTTTAAACTCAAAGGACACCTATAAATTTCCGGCTGTCAGAAGTCACATGCCAGCAATTTGCGCCAGCGCGGGCTCAGCCAGATAACTCAGAAATCAGAAACTTGCTGTGACTCATTCAACGCATCTCACCAGCTCTTCCTGGCAGGACAATCCCGCGCCAAGCTCCGCAACGTGGGCTGGGGAGCAGGAGGTTAAGCGCGAGCTAGGAGACACTGATAACCATACAAAATGCCCATCCGGATAATAAAAGCTGATTTCCAACCCGACTTTGGAGATGGAGGGGGATTTTTTTCAGAGAAAATCCTAAAGGATTAATGTGAACAAATAATAAGTCTTCTGGGCTCTGCTACCTAAAACACCCCCAGACCTAAATGCCAACCAAAGCAGGACTCCAGGCTTCCAGCACTGGTGGCTTGGGTGCAACCTCCCACAAACAGCCCATGCCATGTCCGCTTTTCCACAGGTGGTGTAGACAGGGGGCACCCAAGCATCCAAGCCCGCTGAAGGCAGGTAATGGAGAGGCAGCTGGGTTTCAAAGCTGCTCAGCCAAGAACTGGCTCCAAGGCACAGGATCCACCAAATGCCCCTCGGGTTGAACTGCACCATCAGGCGCCCCGTGCGCCCCGGGGTCCTGCAGCCCGCTCCCTACGCTCCAGCTGCCCAGGGCACCCCCTCCAGCAGCTACCCCGTGAGTAGGCCTCGCCAAGCGCCCGCCCGGGTCCCCGACGGCGCAGCGGGTACCTGTAGTAGGCGGGTGTCCCGGGTTCGCGCCCCGCGTAGCCACTCTGCTCATTGTCCAGGTAGTAGGGCACCTGCTGGCCATGTTGGTGCAGGAAGGGCGAAAGCTGTGGCGGCGGGTGCAGCAGCATGAGCGGGCTCGGCGACACGCTGGAGAGTGGCGGGAAGCCCCCGATGCCGCTGGGGGGGCCTCCGAACGCCGCAGCCTCGGCCCCCGGGCCATAGCCCAGGCCGGCGTGGCCGTAGCCGGGTGCGGAGGCAGCCGCGGCGGCGTTGAAGTCGTACGCGGCGCCCTCGGGGTAGTTGTACATGGAGGGCTTGCTGCTGTCCACGTACATGTCGCCCAGGGGCCGCTCCAGGGGGATCTTGAGCTGCGGCCGGTTCAGGGACTCCAGCTCGTTGCCTGTGATCTGGTGCATCAGAGCCATGCCCGGCGGCGCTTTGGTGTGGAGGGTCATGGTCGTGGACCCTGGGCGTGGGCGAGACGCATGTCTCTCTGCAGGCGCGGCGGGGGCTTCAGCAGCCAACGGGCCACCTGGAAAAAGAGCAGAGCCGGCGGTTAGAGGCGGAGCGGAGCGGCCAAGTCCCTGCGCCCCGAGCGCCCCAGCGCGGCCCTGTCCCGGGAGCCGGCCCGCCGGAGGAGCCCCGTGGCCGCTGCGGGCAAGTGCAGCGGCGAGCGAGCGCGCTCCGCCAGCTCGCCAGGGCTCCAACTTTAAGTACTGGGCTCCCCAGCTCATATGCATTACAAAGGTCCTGGCGGAGGGCCAGGGCTTGTTGCCTTTCACTGACATTGGCTTAAACATCACTTCCAGGCGAGCTTCTTTGGGAGCGATCCCGGGAGCAGCTTCCCTGAACTTTCCTGGTCGTCGCTGAGGGATGGCCCCACAGGTGGAAGGCTGGGACTCCCAGGGATCCCCTGAACGGTGGCGCAGATGAGAACCGGCTTGAGAGCAACTCCGGAGACGCAGGCTGGGGTTGGCTTTCTGGAATGGACTGCCTGATGTGTGCCCAGCTAGTCTCCAATCTATCTCTGTTTGTCTCTTCTGCTTGATTCACTTCTCTCGTTGGCTAGAAATATGTAATGTGTACAATGGAATGACCCTGGGGAGGAGTGCTCTGTAACCGAGATAGGGCAGATAGCGCGGGCTGTGTGGTTGCCTGCACAGCCAGCCACAGATAGCTATATTTAGCATCGCCAGGGACTGATCGCTGGCCTCTGGGGGAGGGAGGGGCGGAGATTCAAGGTGTACTTATAGCAAGATTTGCATTTTGCATTCAGAAAAAAAATATAATTGCTGCCTAGCCTCAGTTTCACCTCCACGCCAGTCTCCCAGAATGACCCCTTCCGCCTTTTCTGTAGCTCGGAGTTGGACTGACTACAGGGCTGCTGGACCTCTTCCCAATCACTGGGAACCACAGGATCAACTCAGAGCTAGATGACCCACCTGTAAGTTTTCAGAGGCTGTAAATTGCTCTGGAAGCAACTGGCTATCTTTCTCCCTCCAAGTATCTGGTGGATTTGAACTGCCTGCCTTTGGGTTGGAAGGGCAACTCTTTATCCATTAGGCCACCAGAGCTTGCTCCCAATAGGAATGTTTCTGTGATTCACCAAACAAAACAAAACAAAAAACCAAATAAAAAACAACCCACAAAACCTTTGGTGAGCCACATGCACATGGATGTCCCTGCCTTCTCTGATTATGCAACCAAACTTCAGAAAACTGCCTCGGAAATAGACTTTGCAACACAAAAGTTTAACCTCAGGCCATTACCAGCCCTTTGGCAAGGATGCTGGCTGCACTACTGGTGAGAACCACAGAGTATAAAAAGCCTTGATACATGTCTATACCTCAGTCTAGTCCTCAGACCTTCTTCACTTAGGCCAACAGATGACCAGTGTAACATCCCAAGGAAAGAGAAATAGAGGAGTGGAGAAAGGTTTTTAAGCTAAATTTAAAGCTAAGATGCATCAAAAAATTACATACTCACGTGCGCACACATACACACACACAAATACATATACATATATATATACTCATTAGTGAAACACTAAAATAAGTATATCATGCATCCATATTCTTGGATAGTTTATACTTTTTAGTAAACTTCTTTGCTCCAGACTGTTCAACTCTGATACAGCTATCTATTCTTGGCTTAAGCGGCCTTCAAACTATGGAGCAGAGTAAACACTCATGGCATATAGAAATGCCAAATTTACAGTTAATAACAGCTTTACTGTGTTGGCATTTTTTTAAACCAATACGAGCATATCTAATTCCTACAAAAATCAGGCAGACCATCATTCTTGGGGCTTTCTGCAAATGCAACTGGTTTAATATAAAAGCTAATCTCAAACTTGACACCAAGGACTATAGATTAGAAACAAAGAAATAGTTTCAAATACATTAGACAAATCACATCTCTTTCTATTTAGGGCCAGCAACCATTAGTTTCCAAAGCCCTTTCTCATTTTGGGGTTGTTGTTGTTGTTGTTGTTGTTGTTTTTTAAGCAAATGATCCCATTTTTCGTAAATTACACTTTCGATTTTCAAATGCCTTTTCTCGAAAACAGGCAAAAGACACTTCATGGAGAAATACAAGTCCTGAAAGACACAGGCGCCCCCAAGTCCAGCAGAAAAGCCTGCTCTGCCGGCAAGCATGCAGACACCAGCTAGCAAGGTAAGTTGTTTTCTGAAAATGCCAGAGCTGGAGAGAGAGAAATGAAAACAAGCTTACCGGGCTGGAGCAAAGGCGTCCTTCCAGAAATGTTCCATGGGCTTGGTGAAGTCAAGGGCCAAGGCTGGGAGACTGACAGCAGGAATGAGCTCTCCTCCGCGAGTGCTTCCCTGTGTGGGGAAGACAGAGCGTGTGGGGATGTGTTTGTGCTCCGAATGGCAGGGATTCGGGGAAGCAGCTAGTACGCAGGGCATTTGGCAGCCCCTCCCGCAGACACGGCAGCTGGGCTGCTGCTCAGAACGAGATGAATGGCAGTGGGAAGTGAGGGGAAGGGGGCATTCTGCTTTCAGAGGGCAGTGGGCATGGCTAAAGTTCAATTCCCAGGGAGAAGCCAAACTCCTGTCCCCTATGCCCCTGCCCCAGAGAACCTGGAAAGTGGCTCCTGCTCTTCGCTGCTATCTGAAGCCCGCTGAAAACCCAGGATTGCTGTAAACGATAGGCTGATAGCTGAACTAGAAGGCCATTCAGAAGTGAGGAGAGCAAGTTTACCAAAGGGAATGTGGATGGTTTCTCCTAAGGAACTTAACGGAACAACACTAGCTCACGGGCGCACTCCCTTGCTGGTGCGGACCCCCAGGCTCTGAACAGACACACTACTATCATGCCTCCCAGTGCTCCAGGAAACCAGACTTTGGAGTAAATGTTTTGGCATTCGAGGGATGTGCTTCCAGCTGAAATGGAATACGCCTCCACCTCGTTAACCAAACCCACAGACCTTTCCACGAAGCGCTCAGCTGACGGCCTTCTGTAAACATGTGAGGAAAAATATTCTTGAAAGCTCAGGGGATGAAGATAAGACGAAGATGGATGGATACCTTTTAGGCTGCTGTGTTACACAAGCATGTAGCTTTGGGGTGGGGGGGTCTCCATTCCCCATTCACCAGATACATGTGTGGATCCATCTGGTTCTAGAAGCTTCTCTTGCCCACAGTTCTGACACATACATGTACCCAAATCCAGGGTCTCAGGACACGCGATGCCCAGTGGAGTCAGACATGGCAGACTTCATGCCAGACATGAGTCACAGTCTTAAGTATTAAATTACTCCAGTTACAATGCCAGGAGTGGCCAGTCTCTGGCTTGGGACCCTCTGCAGCTCCCAAGAGATTCAGAAGTGAGCTCCAGTGGCTTAGTGGTAAGAAGGTGTGCTGTCAACCCAAAGGTATGCAGTTCAAATCCACCAGCTGCTGTTTTGGAGACAGATGGGCAGTCTGCCACTATATGATTTATTTGCCTCTGAAAACATGCAGGAGGGTCAGCTGCGAGTTGGTTCTGACTCAATGGTAGAGCACAGCAGCAACTTGAGACCAATACAAAGAGAGAAAATTACCACAGTAATTATAATGCCATTAAATGTGTGCTATACATGTCTGTCAAACTGTGGCTGACTCTGAGAAGAATGGGAATCCCAGAACATTTGATCGTGCTAATGTGAAACCTATACTTGGACCAAGAGGCAGTCGTCAGAACAGAGAAAGGAAACACTGCACGGCTCAAAATTGGGAAGGGTGTACTCCAGGCATGTGTCCTATCTCCATACCTTTTCAACCTGTATGCAGAACAGATCATCCCGAAGGCTCAGCTCTATGAGGAGAAATGTGGGGTCAAGATTGGTGGGCGATCTACCAACAATCTGTGTTATGCAAATGACACCACCCTCCTTGCTGAAACTGAGGAAGACCTAAAGCACTTGCTGCAGAGGGTCAAGACTGCAGCCTCCAATATGGATTGAGGCTCAATGTCAAGAAGACAGATTCTCACCACTGGGCCAATTGGCAGCATCAGGATGGATGGTGAAGAGATTGAGATTGTTCACGGCTTTAGTTTGCTTGGCTCCACAGTCAACACTCTCGGTACCAGTAGCCAAGAAATTAAAAGACGTATTGCAATGGGAAAGTCTGCTGTTAGGGACCTCTCCAAAGTACTGAAGAGCAATGGTGTCTCTCTGGAGATTAAGGTGTGTCTGATACGGGCCATGGTTTTTGCTATCACTTGTTATGCATCAGAGAGTTGGACAATGACTAGGGAGGATAGAAGGTGAATTGGTGCTTTTGAGCTGTGGTGCTGGAGAATAGTATTGAGGGTACCATGGACTGCTAGGAAAACAAACAGATTCATCCTGGAAAGGGTTAAACTGGGCAGCTCCTTGGAGGCAAGGATTCTGAGGCTCCGTCTAACATACTTTGGACATGTTGTAAGGAGGATCGGTCCTTGGAGAGGGACATCATGCTTGGTAGGGTGGAGGGACAGTACAGGAGGGGAAAGGCCCTCTATGAGGTGGATTGATTCAGTGACTGGGGTAATTGGGATGGGTGTATCGGAGACAGTGCGACAGGCACAGGACAGAGCAGAGCTTAGGGCTGTTGTATATCAGGTCCCTATGAGTCGCAAGTGACTTGACGGCACATAACAACAACAACAACAACATATGTGTCTGTACTTGGACTATCCAGAATGTTACAATACTGAAGCACCAAAGAACTCTCTCCCCAACCAGCAATAAACACAAATTGGGAGTGGGAGAGGTGGGAGGACTTTGTTCGGGGCAATGGTGAATCCTGGCTCCTCCTTTAGGTCAAGATGGTCACCCATGATACAAAACTCAACTCGGTGCCATAAAGTCGGAACTGATATATATTTCAGAGACTACAAATGGTACAGAAGGAGATTGCCCATAAATCTCCTACAGTGAGTGCCACTCCTTAACGACTAGGCCACCAGAGCTCACTACCTATAAAATAGGCCAGGTCAAAATCAAGCAAGAAGGTGGTTCAAGAAAGAAGGAAGAATGAGGGAGAGGAAGGGAGAAAAAGGAAAAGAAAGGTA